AAAAACGTGGAAAGGACGCGAAACGAGCGAAGCAACTAATTGCCTATTAGCCCCAAAGTTGAAATATTTTGCCTCGCAAAAGCCAACCGGCGTTGACGCGCTTCTGCTCGTCGTCAACCAATCGGCGAGTTAAATCCCAACGGAGGCTGTTTAATAAGCCCTGTTGACAAGCAGCAAATGATTAAAAAACTGATCTCCCCGTGGCCCCGGCCCTTGTACCCGGCTAACTAATCCTTTTTTCGGGATCTCTACGCATCCGTAAACCTGAATCTTCCCCAGAGCAGGCTAACTTCAGTTAGCCGGATAAGCATGCCCCGCCCCCAGAAAAAATATCCGCTCTCTTCCTCAGAGATCCCATTGATGTGGTTTTTCTGTTAGGGAGGGAGAGATCGCCAGGAACCGTTATCACATCACGATGGCATACAGCGTGTGAACACCACACGCTGTATGCAAAGTCTCACACGCTGTATGCAAAGTCTTGTGCTTTTTGTCGAGTGGTACGCGTTCGGACGGTGATGCGGAGGATCTCGGGAAAGCGGCTATTCATAAAGTTTATTCAGCGCTTTAGACACCTGGATGTTCCATGTTTCACTTCTTCAATATATTGAATTTCTGATTATGAATGATGGATACATACACACTGATCCGCACATACACAGATTCACACACGCACACAGGGCTGTCACGATATCACATTTTTGTTGTGCGATTATTGCACCAACATTTATTGCGATATTATTGCGTAAAATTCTTATTATTTTTTTCAGACCATTTATACCACTGATATAATAACATAATGACAACATAGCCTAGTAATAAAAGCACGCTATTTCAAAGAACAAAGAGCGGAATGTTTACGGAAATTCACCGGAAACCTTCCGCCCCCATTGCGACCTTAGAAACACTGCACCGCCAAGCCACCAACATGAATTCCTCATCTTACAAATGCTCCATATGTTTCATTCTTCAAACACACCCACAGTGCTGAGAGAAAATCCCTGTCTGTTAAAGCTGAGCAGAGGAGATGAAAGCCAGGAATAATAAAAGCAGATTTCAATGCGCTGCGTGCTTCTATGGGCCGAGAGCTGCGACTCTAAAACATGAAAGCAGGACCTTCTTTTTCTATTTTACCGTGGAGGTCGGTCCTTCGCTTCAGTTACAACATTCCCATCAGTCTGATCTAAATGTCCATTATCCATTTGCTCATGTGTGTGTATGTGGTATAATTTGAACACTATCAACACTAATGTTCACATCAGGTTTTTCTACTTTTACGTCCAAGTTTGCTGCGGAAGAAGTGACGTGCATTGACTTCCAATGAAGTTACTCCCGCTGCCCCACCCTGGAGACACATTACAGGAAAAGGCCAACTACAACTAGAAGGAAATGACTGAACTATCCCAAAACATTGAGTTGGCCATATTATCCCAAATCAGAACACTGAATTACGGAAGATCAATCTTTAAAAATGGCCCAAAAAAACTATACTTATCTATATTTAGCTGCAGATTGGATGCAGTGTGGAGTATACGCAGCGGGGCAATATATGTTAGATCAAGTGAAATGAGATCGTGCCCATGTTAATGTCACACAGGCGCAGTGTGCATTTTAAATAGGTTTTGCATGTTCAACAAGGTGTGGGACACAGAACAATGGGATATCAGACTGATCGTTGAATGGGATTGATGAGGTTGGGTCGTGTGTTCCATCACATTAACTTGCTGTCAGAGAGCGTTTCATTCCAGATATGGAAATGTGAGTTAAACATTAGCAAGCAACAATAACGAGGCAAAAGGGGCGCAGACTTTATTTCCCCTGTTTAAGCAAAAGTCTGATGCTTGTCGGGTCACAAGGGGTCGAAGGGAAGCCAGCGGTTGCCTGGATCGGGAGAAAGGGGACAACATCTGGAGCTGTACAGTCTTTTTAGTTGACACTTAAAACACACGGATTTGGTTCTTAAGGGGCACAGTGTAGATTTGATTAAACTCGTGCAGCTCTTTTTTCACTGTTGAATGAGTTTGACATTTTGGATAAATACTGTGTAGACCCTCCGTTCCTCTTCGAAGTCGCCTCTTTGTTTTTCCAGATAATCAGAAGCTGTTTATTGTTACATGTACAGGAATTTCTCTTTAGTGACTTCTTCTCTTCAGATCAAATTTTTAAAAATAAGGGAAGGGGACAAAAAGTCTTTGTCCGGGATGAACGAGGTCTGCTACAATCTTTCTGGCCCAGAAAGCCTTCTGTTGAACTTGTTGCGTTATGGTAATAGGAAAAAGCTGTCCAATGTGTCTAAAACCACAGTCCACTTTTTAATAGCAGAAAAGAAGCACAATGGACAGAAAAGTTGCGGCGGAGTGAAGTGATGCGACAGAAGGAGGGGGAGAAAGTTGAGGAGGGACTTGTTACTGGAAGTGGGTCACAGCACTACTGACGTGATGCAATGTGACGTGCAGAGAGGGGGACAGGATCACGCCACTGTCTGCGTCCCCCTTTTGTCCTTCGCATAAGCAAACACACACACACACACACATAAAGATGCATCTGCTCGGTTAATTGGGTAAACGCTTGTGCAGAGATAGAGATCACTTGTGCTTTGCAGAGGCAGAGGTCCCTCTGGTTCTCTGCCTCTGCAGATACATATAAAAATAAATTGAATGAGTCCTAACTGCCTCTACCCGGGTGCTCGTTGATGATACATGAAGCATAAGGGATGGAGGGGATAACAAGGTGGAGTTCCAGGGGAGTCAAGGAAGCAGTTTAGTTGAGGGGTCCAGGTGTTTTCTGCAGGTTACCTGTTCCTGCAAAATGCACACATACTTAAGACCTCTGTATCAGGTCATGTGATGTGCTCTGAGATTTGGCCTAAACCGTTTGGCACATGGAAGGCTCTTGGACAGGGTGGGGGGGCTGCGGGATGTGGAGACGACTCAGGCTCTTGCCACAGAGGGGCCCTGAACAATTCACCATTGTTTATATTCGATTGCTTTTCTTAGCATTTGATTCCTTTGCTCTTAAGAAGACTGAGGAAATGAGCCTGACAGACTGGGGGGGACTTTTGAGTTTATTGGATTACTGATGGCGAGATCTCAATCTCTGTAAATGGTCCAAATGCCACGGAGAAACCAAGTAATGAGAATTTGTTTGCCGTCCCCCCCCCTTGGTTGTTGGAGTGTGCTGACGGCGACTGAAGGTTGAGGAACCTTCATCCTAATCGGCTTGAGATCTGGCCGCAGTTCAGGCCACCAAATGAATCCAGATTAGAAGGGTCACAACGCAGGAAGAGGGGATTACCAGCTCTGGCCGCTGCGCCGCCTCCTCTCGCCGTTCAGCCGTCTGACTGGTCGATACAGAGGGGCCTGCAGGCCCAGTTAGGCGCTGCTGGCATTCACTCCTTTCTGCCGGTCTTGGGAAAAGGCGTCGGATTCGAGCAAATTGGAAATAGTCGTGACGCAATGTCTGTCATTATTTCTGTAACGTAATCTAAAACAGACGTACTGGTTTAACATCAGCACACGCAACGTTTTGAGTTTTTTCTTTTACGTGTAAACTACAAGGAAAGTAAAAGCAGCTTTACAGTAATCGAATTAGAATTGTAGAAATGGTACGAAGCTTTTGGGCTGCTTCTGGGAGGGTTAGGGTTAGGGTAGGTAAGAAGCGGGGCCTTGGCTAGGGTTAGGGTTAGGTAAGAAGCGGGGCCTTGGCTATGGTTAGGGTAGGTAAGAAGCGGGGCCCTTGGCTAGGGTTAGGGTTGCACTGCGTGGATCACACGTCTGCTGTTCAGCTGTGGAAACCCACTCATTTCTTTGCCGTCTCTGGTATAAGTCCGACCTGATGTCTTTAGAAAGCGAGCGAGTGTATTAAAGGCCAGCCCATCATTCTCAGGCCAAACCCAAGCGACATGTGGTTTCCATCTACATCCCTTGGTATGGAAAATAGAGACGGTTCTGCAGCAGGCTGACCTCACTATCTGGTATGGAAACATGCTGTAAATGGGGGAAACATTGGTGTCGCTATCATCTGTGATTGAGTGTGTGTTAAAAACATTGTATGTTTTCAGAACAGAGCCCCCTGGTTGCAAAATGCAGGTAAACTAGGTTACACAGTCTGGTTGGACGCGTTGGGGTGAGTTAAAGACAAAGGGAGGTTGTTAAAGTTCCCCATCACCCACTCTGCTCTCCGTCCCTCTGCTTCCACTTAGACGGCAGAATGGAATAATGCTGCGTGTGCAGCGGCGTGTTCTGCAAGCGGCCAGACTGCGGTTCCTGTGCGTAGCTCTGTTTCTGATCCCACTGTAAATTAAACATGCCTTTTTAGATAACAGGCTCTGTGCCCCCCGCCGTGTCAAACTGCTGCTCCACACTTCAATCGGCTCGTGTCCCTGGTTTGAACTCAGCGGGTTTGATTCCTGTTAACGCACAAATAACAGCTGAGGGAATCTGCAAAGCGATTAGGCCACCAGTCGTTTGTGAGTCGTATAGAAGCCGTCGTGCAACAAATCTTAATTCTGACGGCTACGTGTGTTCGCAGGAGAATTTTGGGCCGAACTGTGAAATGTCTCCAGTCGAGTATGAGGTCAGAAGTTGGGTCAAGCTCAGCTAATCTTGGTGCTTGACCTTTCACATCCGCCTACGACTAGTTTTTCTTCTTGTACCAGGTACAACACGGGGGGGTGAAGATGACTGATTATCGGGACATCTTATTAACCTGCTGATACTCGCATAGACAAGAGAAGTAAAACACATAACTACTAGCTATGGTAATTTATTACAGACCCCCGTGAATACTCATGAATTGTTAAGTAATAATTGTTGTCTGTAGGGTTCTCGGTTAGAAGATGATTGTTCCATCACAGGACGGGTATTGCACATATCTTAGAGACTACTGGAGGAATACATTTTCTTCTTTCCTCTTGTGGTCCTTTTGCTCCGGTGCTCGTGTCTGCCTTTGAGCTCTTTTGAAATGCTAATCCCGTCCTCTTTTTCTTCTCCTCCGTGCCCCAGATTCCTCCTCCAACTACATCAGGCAGCTGGAGAGCAAAGTGCGGATCCTCGAGGATGATAACAATAAGCTCCTCTCACAGGTGAGCCACACAAATATAGATACCGAGTCACAGCACAGCACTATTTGAACTTCTACCCTCCCTAAGCACCTCTTGTGCAATTATCGGACTCACCCTCATCCATGCGAGTTGGAGAATATGTTTACCCATGTTTAATTCAGTTTCCAAGCAGCCATGTTAGACCTTGAGGTGAACCGTGGGAGCAGGGGGGAGATCAGAGGAGGGAGTATGAGAGGAAAGAAGCATTTCTCCCAAAGTTGACCTTCCTTTGACTTCTCCCACATGTGGAGGACGGAGGGCTGAGTGAGTGCAGGTGGGTTATCGGCCTGGTTCATATGGGGCTCAGTCTGCATCCACACAGCCACGTTATGTACGATTCATTTATAACTGAAACATATTAATTGGCGCCCGTTTGGGGGATTACATCGTGGAACAGCGCTCATTCATTCTAGGTGATATTAAGAGCCTGGAATGATTCATACACCTGTTGTTATCTTTCTGTTTGAGTCCTTCAGTTGGTTTGAAGCCCTTTTCGGGAATTTCTCAGTTTAAATCAAAGCCTTAAAAAAAATCTATTCAATTTCACCAATTATTTCCCAGCAGATTCATTCGTACGCTGGAGTCCCTGATATGAAACCCGAGCGCTCCTCATAATTGGCGCTTAAGTGCTACGATTATGTGCTACACGTGGTCTCATGGCAGGCGAGACGAGTCATTTAACCCGGCCTAGTAGTCCATTAACAGTCCTTCTGTTTTCTTTTTCTCTGCTTCGATTTGAGGTTTGGATCAGTATCTTCTTTCAGTAGTGGAACTTGATATGAATTGTAATGAATGCGTTGGCTAATAATAATAATTAAGATGTGGAGTCCTCCTGACACCTTCTTTAGAATACTTCTGTAAACTGTATCGTATGTGGATGTACAATACAGTTGCTACCATTTCATTTTGTCCAGATAATCCAATAATGGGCATATTTACTCTAATGTTGATCTCACACTCGGTGTATAGTTGGTATAGATCTTTATAGTTCAGACGAAAAATGTAGTTTTCTGAAACATCGGTGATCTGCTTGTTGAGCCGGGACGTTTCACAGCTTTGACTTTGTTGCTTTCTAATATGCAGGAGGTGGACACAATATTAGCTCACCTGTACAATGGTTAATGTGATGTTGAGCTAATAAGACTTTTACATACTGTACGTGCCGATTCATGGCAACATTAAAGAAGAATGCTGTGCTTACTTTCTTTCTTGTACAAAAATTGAAAGAAATATACTTTCATATATATGCATACAGTGCATACTTTCATATGCACTGCAGCCATGGCTATGCTAATGAACAAGCACAGGTGGCACATGGGGCCCGTGGTGAATGAATGCTACGTTGTGTATAAATGATACGCGCATGTCCTGGCTTGTCGGGATCTCTGATTGGCTGAATAACCGTTACAATGGATTAAGTGTCCTCAATAAAACTATTGCCCAACTTCCTGTTGTGAAACCGGTCGGGTGAAACTCGCTGAGCCTGAACGAAGCAGTAGCCTCTTACCGCTGGACTGTCGACCCCCAAACCCACCTTGGGTGGAGGCTCTCACCGTGCGTGAAGGAGAAGGGAGAGAGTTAACAAAAGTGTCACTCGGGGCTTCCACCTTGTCATTAACATTTAAACATTTGACTTTGACAATTTAATGCTTCCTATGACAGAATCAGATGAAGTCGGAACCAACAGGTCCGTGGAGGTTGTAGCTCCAGCTAGTGCGCTAATTTAGCTTATCTTTGAGTTTTACTTTATTACTGATGACTCGATCGATTACAGCAGGGGTTTCAAATCGGGGGTGGCGACCCCCAGGTGGGTGGGCAAGGCTTAACACAGCCACGACGGTAAAAAAAACTGAAAGGGAAACCAACACGAGGACTTGACATGCCTTGTGTTCATCTTCTGTTCTATGATCCACTGTGTCACGGCATCCAGCGTCACTCCCGTGCCTCAGAACTCCTACAGCTCCTCTCTGTCCGCACCAAGAACACGGTGATGGAAGGACGGGTGGTGTTGGGTGGAGTCCGTCAGTCGAATAGCTTCGCTAGTCTCAGTGGTCCAGGTCAAGTCTTCTCATTTAGTTGACGGATGCGTTTATGTAGGTCTGCACGGTACACCGGTTCACACGGTATACCGTGCAGCGGTAAGAAACCCCCGCCGAACTGCATGCTGGGTAAAGCTCACAACACGAAGTAACGTTAACTCTGCTGCTACATGAAAAACACGTGAAAGAGCGATACGGGAGGAACAACGAGAGACCAGAGACGCACCAACGCGACTTGTTCCCACGAGAGGAGCTACAACACTTAGCAGCCACGACAGGCTAACGAGCTAACCCGCTAACCAGCTAACTCGTCCGCCAGTTGCGAGCGAGTTGGCCAGCGAGCGGCGAGTAGCCGCGGCCTTTTTTTCGGGGTGAATGAATTAACGTGTTTACTTGCAAAAAGCAACACCGTCACATAGCGAGATACCGGCAGAATCTTTCTAAATACCGTGATACGGATATTTGACATGGATACCGTGCAGCCCCACGTTTATGTACACAGGCCGTAGTTCAGAAATGACAAAGACAGAACTCAGCGGGTGAATATGGAAACACAAAGCAGTGGGAGGATTGTAAAACATTAGCGGACAGTAGCAGGACACTAAGCCGTGAGCGCTAACGGGCTGCGCAGCATGAGGTCTGCGCGCTCCTCGTTTGGGCCGCGTATTGCCCGGGTGCTCCCGGACGTCACGCGTTCACTCGCCCGCGACTTGTGGCCGAGTGCGCGACGCGACAAATGTCCCGCGGGCCGGCGGAGCTGCCGTGTTGCTGCCTGCGCGAGAAGCTGGGCGCCTCCAGGAAGCCGTGGTCTTTGTCTCAAAACGAGGATGAATCCTAGGACTCGCCCAAGTGCAAGCGCATGAGGAAAAACCTCAATAAATGGGGAAAGGCTAATGTGCTATAAGCAGCATCACTCAAGGACCTTAACATACACTGACGTACACGTCATCTTTAGCTAATGTGGGAACAACTGAAACTTGCATATTATAGCGTTATGGGGGGTTATGTGTGAAAAAACAGTTGAGCGAGAATAATAACAGGAGCGTAAAGAATAACTGAAAACACAAACCATGATTCATTAAACATAATGGATCCTCATTGTTTGTGTTGAAGTAAAGACATCGTGTCAATTTTTGAAACAATATATCATTATCAATCAGGCCTCAAATGTAACAATAAGTATAATGTAAAATGTACCTTCACATCAGCACAGGAAAAAAACAAACCAAAATGAAAAAACTAAAACAAAATGGGGATAAAAAAGAAACCTTAGGTGGAACTTACTCCGTAGGGTTAACAGAATGCAATGATTGTCATGTATACTGAACAAACAGCCTAAAAGATGTACAGCATGTTCAATTCACACCACAGAAATGATTCAAATATTGAGAGTAAGCAGGTGTAAGACCAGTCTGGGAACAACCAGTACGAGATAAAACTACCATGAGATAATGGTGCTTTACGATGATAGTAATAGTAGTAAATAGACTAATAATGATATTAATAATGGCAGCAGCAGCGGGGGTCAGCGGGGCCATTGCAGGAAGCATAAACCGGGTCCAGATAGAACCATGATCCATAGAAACCTGTGAGGCGACAAAGCACAAGAACTCCAGGGAAGAATCTGAATTAGTGATGTGAATTAATGAGATGTGAATTCTTATAGTTATGATGTAGTTTAGGTTTAAGGTTAAAAAAAGGCTCAAAACTAGCCGATCACGCCAACCACGTTCTATGGGAAAGATCCTGTTCTGCTTCTTGCTCGCATGAACAACGATGAGCGAACGTGTCTTTATCAACGCCTTTTATCTCTGGTGTGTGTTCGGTTGCCATCAGTCCAACCCGGGTGACCTTCGTGCCCTGAGGAAGGGAATGACCCTCTATCACTCCGAGTCCCAGCTGTCATCACTGCCCCAACGCCAGGACGCCATGCACAAGGTCAGTACCCAACACACACACATCCGGAGCTACACATGCCGAGTCTGACATTGCCTAAAGTGGTCACAGCACTTTAACAGTCATAGTAGATCAGTAGTAATAATAATAGATTCAGTTATTTATAGAAGGGTGGTCGTGCCGGGGATCGAACCGCCAATCCTCTGATTAAAGGACAACCCTGCTCTCCACTGAGCCCCAGTCGCCCCCCTTTAATTACCCCCCCGCACAGACCACCAGATAGACCACTATCTCTCACACACGACAGGAAGAACCGAGAGCGTGGAAGGCGAAGAGGATCTAAGACCGGGAGACGAGGGGGTCCGACCTTCGACCTCTTCCTGTTAGAATTGAAACCCCTTTGACAATCCCGTACAAGCCGCTCACCCGGCCAGTGTCTGCAGTCACCAACCGGAGGTCTTCCTCTCTGCTGCGTGAAGGTCTGCGCGTGGTTTTCATCCTGGGCGCAGTGTGAGGTCACAGGCCTGTGACACGCGGCCGCCTCCTCGTGGAGGTTCGTGCTGTTCAATAGTCTTCACGAGGGGAAATGGCTTTAAAGTGCTGTTGATATCAATGAGCTGGTCGTCTGAACTTTTGATCTAACGAGATGTTTGAAGTGGATTGAAGTGCCGCGTGAGGTCATCCTGTGAGCTGGAAAACGTCTGCTGAAAATGTCAATTTCACTAAACGCCACATGTGTTTTCTTCCTCGTCCAACTCAGCACAAAATAAACAAACTAAAACATAACCTGGGCCCCCTTTCTGCGGCTAACTGAGTTAGCGGGATAACCTTCAGGATTACATTACATACTTGTAATGTCAGAGGATGTCAAGTGTACAGAGCGAACGGCGTAAAAGATGCACAATACATTCAATTCTTACATCAGAAATGATTCAAAGCGGATCAATATTAAGATTCGAAAACACTTCTTACGGAACCTGAGTGACAAGTAGGTTTGCGTCGTCGGTGCATTCAAATGACACAGCGGGTCAATGCATTCATATCAGCCTTTTCCTTTTGTCCCTGATTTCAAAGCTCATGGATGAAATCTATCTTCAGAGCAGACTCATCACCATATAACTGGATAACAACAAGTTCCACATGAAAACCAAAGGGCTTCTGTTTCCTCTCAAAGGTTACTTATGTCAACGGTCTTTCTCCGATCGTTTTGAAACACATGAATTTCATAAAAGGTTCAATGTAAATTGAAAACGGACATTCAGACATTCAAAAACAAATCTATTTTTCTTGTGTTTGAACAGACAAAACGCGGCTCTTGGTTTCAATTCATTTTATTCCTTATAGCCCAAAGTCATAAGTGGCAAACCTTCCTCTGAGGGCTTTACAGTCTGCACACACGGGACACCCTCAAACCCCCCCCCCCCCCCCCAGTGTGGGTATTCGGGGCCCCACGTGCCCGGGGGGTGTGGCGGATGGGGCCATCCCTGGCACCTCAACGGGGTCAGAGGGCGCAGTGAGCGGACAATGGAACCTGGGCTGACAGAGCCAGGGAGCTGTGTCTAATGCAGGGCCCCGGTGCCAGCTTACAGTCAATGGTGCCATTGTGTGACCCCCCCCCCCCCCCCCCACCCGTCTGCCGCGGACCAGGGGGGGGGAGGATGAGTCAAGCCGCTCCCATCACACCCGCTCAGAATCACCGGCCAGGTAGCAGCTGGCTGCGAGTTGAATACGTGGTGAAGGGGGAGAAAACCACCAGGGGGGAAGAGGGGTTTGGGGGGGCGAGGGGGGGGGGGGGGGGGACATCGTCCGAGCTACGCTACAGCTCAGTGACTCCTCGAGTTAAACCCATTGAGGGCAGATGTCTCCTGTTCTTGCTCTTATGGTTTTGCTGTGCCCCCCCCTCCACCCACAGGGTCCTGGCCGTCTCCCAACCAGCGAGTCTTCTCCAGCCACAGGCTACCTGTCCTGCGTCCAGAAGCCCGAGGCTGTGGTGCACGCCATGAAGGTACAACATTCACCCGCAGCTGAAGACGACATTCTAAAGTCCTTTTTGTACATTGAGGTTGTGCAGCCGCTCATTCTCACCCGTGTTCATCCACTCTGCTCCTTTTCATTTGAACCACTTTCAGACGTCTCACATTCATTCAGCAAATCATATTGGTCTAGTGCTGTTACCATGACGACAAGTGCTAAATGATTGCAAGGTTCAAATAAAACCAAATGCATTATGCTGGACATCCCTGAATGAGTTATTGGTGTTTAAAGAAGCCCGTTCATAATAATAATAGCGACACTCTGACTCACGTTTAAAACCTTTTGTAAGGTAAAACAAGTTCAACTGCACATTTGTAAACTGAAGGGTTGCTTTACCTCTGTTACATAACTACGATGGTTTCACTTGTCATAAGGTGCTGGAGGTCCATGAGAACTTGGACAAGCAGGTTCCTGAGGACTATGAGGACGACCTCAGTGAGAAAGAGAAGGCCATTGTGAGAGAGATGTGCAACGTAAGTGCGACCCCCCCCCCACCCCACCCCGACGCGTCTCCTCTGATCTGCACCGACGTTCCGTTCGTTCCGTCCGTCTGCTCGTCCGCTCGCTGCAAATGAGGTCACTTTTTGAGCTGCTCCCACTAATGAGCACGGCTCGTCTCCACTCATTGGGTTTGGAACGACACTCGCTCCAGTGTCCCATGCCCCCCCCCTCCCTCCCTGCCTCCCTCCCCCCCTCCCACCCATTCATTCATTGCCGCTCTCAGCCGGCAGCCCTAAGTAGAGACTCGTAGCTGAGCTGCCGGGGGCAATTAAACCGGAGCGGCAGGCAAAAGAACACCCCTCCGTTCTTCCTCTCCTCCGCCCTCCCACTCCTCCACCTCCTCCACCTGCCTCAGCTGGGACCGAAAGACCCCTCGGCCCCATTTAACAGGTCCGCTGATTAGACAGGAAAACGGGGAGCGGGGCTTTCCGGGAGGTATGTGACAGGCCGGGAGCCTGGGGAGCACTACAATAGCACCTCTGTGATAACACGGGGGGCCACGGGGGCCACGGGGGCCCCTCTCTCAGCACCAGCCGGCAGCCTCACAGAGACACAGAGATTGTGTGTGTGTGTGTGTGTGTGTGTGTGCGCGCGTTTCTCCTGTTTCTCTGCAGCTCAAAGTGGAAGTGAACATTTGAAGCTTGCGCTCTTGAAGAAGTCCTTTTTTTTCCCTCTTCCCCTCCGCCGCCGTCCTCCGTGTGAGCCGCTCTCTCCCTCCGCTTCTGTCTGCAGGTGGTGTGGAGAAAGCTGGGTGACGCAGCAGGATCAAAGCTGTCCGTCAGACAGCACCTCTCCGGGAACCAGTTCAAAGGGCCCCTGTAGCCTGGCAACCAGGGAGCGAGAGCGATGAGGAGTTCCAGTACCTGCGCGTACGCTACCCATCATGCCGTGCACCTCATCAAACAGACCTGCTAGTCTGTTGCTCACCTGCAAAACTTTACGTGTATTACATCTTTTTTTTTTTTAAATCTCTCAGCGGGTTATGAAGCGTCGACAACTGGCAGCTAGTTTTACTGATTCACAACTTGTTTTTTCTTTCTTTGATTTGGAGGCTTCCAGCTGCACAATAGTGTCTCTTTGTAAACGTTGTAATCAAACACCACCTTTAGTTCTTTGCAGCACAGCTGGGATACATGAAGCAAAACCTACAACAGGGTTTCAAGCAAAGACGAAGGTTTTAATAGCGCCCCCTTTAGATACCCCGACCCTGTCACATATACCCCCCCCCCCCCCTAGTGCGTATAACTAGCATTAGCATTCTAAAGTGATAACTCGGCAGGTGAGCTCGCGCCTCGTGCTCCTAGTCCATAGAGATGACTTCTAACTTGTGTATAATATGTATAAAACATAGCACTACTTGTTATAGTTGATTTTACTTTGATCTATTTTGTATTCTAGTGTGGCCATGTGATCAATTACTTCTCCTAGTCATTTTCTTACTTTGTGGAACTGACTAAAATTGTATGCTCGACAATCATTTTCTCAGGTTGAGAGGGCTACAGCTTTACCTGCGTGTGTGTGTGTGTGTGTGTGTGTGTGTGTGTGTGTGTGTGTGTGTGGTTTCCCTGCAGTTGTAGCATCTTCACCTATTAGGCATTTGCTGAATCCACACGAAAAGCCTGCACAAAAATGTCACGGTCAAATATGAGACCCTCAGTTCAATGAATATGGCGGCGGCGGCGGCGTCTCCTCCGGATGAGACAGGTCCCTTTCGTTGGGCTCGGTCCTTTTCTGTGGATTCAGCAGGTGTGTTCATGTGGCATGTTTCTTCAATCTTCTTTCTCAAAGTCTTCCCTTATGTCTCCTGAAAAGACTTAACATTTAGAAACGAGTATTTCTTGATGTCAGAATGAATAAACACTGTTATTGTTTAGTATTGATTGACAGGTGTCAGATATGGGAGAGCCATTAGTAAGTGAACAGTCCACTTTTACATTACTAAACTATCAGATGTTTACTGACAGCTGAGCGTCTCCACCTCTCGCACCTCTTCTCTCAAACAATGGGGGTGGAAATAAATCAGAGTATTTCTTTTTAAAAGTCCTTTTTTGTAGGAACTGATTTGAAGCCATGATGCAATTTTGAATACTTAATAAATGGCATTAGATTTCAAATATGCCACTTGTTTTTCTGCAAGACGTTTTGGATTTGGAACTCGTCTTATTGTCTGTACAGAATCTTAGATTCCACAGTGTAAATAAAGCAATATCTGTAATAGCTCCCATGGCTGTAGCCTCTTTTCACGACTTTGGAATAAATGAATAAAGTTGTTGAAGGACGCTGTGAAGAAGTGTCTTTATTTCCTGAAGCAAGCGCGAGTCAGCCTGCCCCCTGCTGGTCCGGCACTGGAAGGAGAACTGATGAGGTTCTGCATCAGTGTGCCAGGAGGTCATGATGTTCTCGCTCTGGAGCTCCTCCTCACAGACACTGTCTGCTACGCTCCCGCCTTGCTTCAGCTGCGTACTTTATCAGTGTCAAAAGATGATCTGTTAGTCACGTGTCAGCCGGGTGATTCTGTCCATTTGCATCAAATCCCTTTACAAAGCCGCTTGTTATTTTTGTGAATACTAGGTATGCAAAACCAAACCGGGACAAAAATAAGTGTTCAATGAGGTGCACGCTTGCTGAAGCCCCACTATTAAAAACAGGTCTGTTAATTATTCAGTCAGGTGTGGAAGAGTGAGGCCTATTTGACCTGAGTGGCACTGAGAGAAGCCTCTGAACACACGGATAGATGACACATGTACAAACGCACCACTATCGAGTTCACGCGTTACTGTCAGCAGGAAGCTCACCCGAAAAATAATGGGCCAGGAAACGTGAGGAAAACATTTCTCAGTGTGATCATCTTTGAGTCGACTACTGCATGGAAAATCATCTCCAGATTTTATTACACCTTTTCCTCAGCAAAACAGAGGGAACGTACAAAAACGATTAGAGTGCATGAATACAGAAAGAAATGAGTCAACCTCTAATAGTCAGAAGGTCAAGAGAGAACAGCACAGAACTAAAGTTAGGATATCAGTTTGCAGACAGACGAGTGCACAGCGATTGATTCAATATGCTGGAACCACAGCAAGTAGCATCCTTGTGACGCGTAACAATCTATTCATTTTCAAGTCTACGTCTTAGAAAGCCTTCATGAACAACAAGAGCCCAACAACTACCTGGTGGTCGCCCTCCCCAGCGACGCCTCCGCATTCATTCTCATCTCATCCAACCGCCATGATTCATAGGCATGCCGGGCGGAGGGGGAAGGGGCACCTGCGATTGTCCTGGGGGGCCGGGGGGCGGGGGATACCCAGCAGGGGGGAGTCCTATAACCGGAGGGGGCACGTGGCCCGGCGGCATGCGCGGAGGCGGCGGTGGAGGGTAGCTGTTGTAGCCTGGTGGAGGATACTGAGGCGCCAGGTTGGGTGGTGGGTAGCTAGAAGGCGGTGGCGGGCCTGGGGGGGGGGCTGAAGGCGGCGGATAGACGTGGGGGTGGTATGGTGGGATTGGGGGTGCGTAGCTGGGGGGCATCGGCGCGTAGGAGGGACCTTCTGTCTTCATCAGTGACTGCAGGCTCTGGTAGCCTTCTCCAGACATGTAGGAGCTGGTGGTGGACATGATGTAGTTGGAGGGCGGCGGTGGAGGAGGGCGATGGGGCAGGGGCGGGGGCTTATGTGGCGGCGGCGCATGCGGTGGAGGCGGCGCGGTTTCATTTAATGGGTTCTGCTTCCGTGGGAGGAGCCGGAGCTTTGCGTTTTAGTGAGGAGAGAAGACGAGAAAACAAAGCGGGTTAGAAAATTGGGTTTCGTTTCCTGTAGAACCGAAACCACTCCCCCCCCCCCCCCCCCCCATTCCACCACCACCCCAATCTCAGACCGCGCACACAAATGAAGCCAGACAGCCAGGCTTCAGCGGCCCAGGAGGTCTCATTATGAGGCTCAAGCACTAATCAGATTGCTCAGCGGGGTTAAGAGTCTGTGTGTGTTGGGAAACAACGGACAGATAAGTGAGCAGGCTGAGGACTCCAGATAGGGGGTCCCTGTGTACGTGTGTGTGATCCACGCTGACGCTAAACACAACTTTTTTTTTTGCGCCACCGGATTACATACAAAGTTTAATACGACGCAAATTTGTCACGTCAAACGCAAAAGCTGAAATTTGGTGTTCGAGCGGCGTGACCCTGCGGACCGACAGCCTATCAGCGTTCAGATGCTCACTGACGTCCTGCAGACAGTTGCTGGATCCGAAGGAATGGAGGATAAATGAATAGTAATAGCTGTACGATCCATCCTCGTATCTAATGTTACATTGTGACCAGTCCAGGAAAGACTTGCACGATACAACCGTATCTGCATCTACAACATTCCATCACTGCACTCGATATAGTGCATTACGGTGCAGGGGAATTGTATTGTTTGTGACATATTGCTACTCTACATTCAGTAATATTGCTCCTTTAGGATGGGCTTTAGCACACGGTGTCTGACAGATGCTACTTTGTACCGTAACACAACGACGTTAGAAGGACTTCCAACAGCTACACAGTCGTTACGTCTTTCACGGTTAAGCGTTTTTCGGGGTGATAAGCCACGCCCCCTCTCCGCCACGTCGATCACTAACGAGGCGATTCGTCCGAATTGACCAGAAACAAATCTTTGCTTCTCTGTTTAGTGTGAACACCCCATGCGGTTTTTATATTAAGCCCCCCCCCCCCCCCCCCCAATACATATGGGAGGGGAAACAGTGCAGGTGGAACTCTAAATCACTACCTGCCTCACAAATGAGACTGAATGAAAGAGCGTGGATGGAGAGCCCTTTGTTACCTGGGGGAGGCTGCGATGCAGGCAGAGGGGGCATGGGGCTTTCCAGCCGGGGAATCTTTGATCCAACCGGTTCTGTGAATGTAAACAGATGATGCATGAGGGAAATTTGCTGTTGGCTTGAATAATAATTACATCAAATCTTGCCCGAAAGGAAAATATGAAGCCCGAGCATTTAGAACCTGCAGCATCCATGTGATCTTAAACTGAAGTCATGTAAAGTAGAAAAGAGGTTCGGGAGGCGTTTGAGTGGAGTTATGTGTGTGCGAACACCCACCTGGAGCCTTTGGTTCATCTTTGGAGGGAGTCTGTGAATAACAAATAGACATAAAAACATGAAACCTACAGCCGGTGCCGCGGGTGACGTCATATGAATTGGGCATATACGCACATGTGCGCGCTTGTGCTGGCGTGCAGGGCTGCCTCCCATGGGGGAAGTCTTCTTTGGGGGTGGGGGAGGGAGGCTGGGGGCTGGTGGTAGTCCCTGTGGGATTGGAGGGATTGGGGCCTGAGGAGCAGCGGCCCTTTCCTTCTCCTGGATCTGCTGAGGGATGGGCTTGTTGCCCTGAGAGTACAGATCCAGGATCTGGTGGCAGATGTCTGGAAGACAAACAAGTGTTTCTGTTGCAACTAGTCCGTTAGGAAAGGAAGCACAGCTCGTAGCTGCGGCATGTGGTGTCACGGCTTCCTGACGAGTACCTTCAAGCAGCTCAACTGGGACGTCCTGCACAAACTGCTCCCACCAGCGACGGGACGACTGCTTGGCAGTCCACTCCTGGATGTCAAACTTACAGAGGCGGCCGGCCAGGTACATGACGGCGACGGCGATGATCTCTGGTTCCCACTGCAGAGACAGCATGGTGCACAGGCTGCCAGGGACACACGCCACACAGTTACACCCAACGGCCAGAAGGCGGCGCGTCACTTTGTAATACCAAGAGGTCCCAGGCCAAACGGCTCACCTGTCATTGACAAAGGTCCAGGCCATTTGTAGCACCTTGCACACTTTATTCTTCTCACCTTTAATATGAAGAAAATTAGTCTCAATCCTCATAATTTCCTGGAGAAATAAACAAACAGCCCCTTTGTGGAATCAAACGCCGCTCTTACGCCAGCTCACCCTTGAGTTGCTTGACGTAGCGCAGCAGGAACATGTAGGGGTGCTCCACCTGCAGGTCAAACTTGATGGTCTGCAGCAGAATTCTCTCCAACACCATTACCTCTTCCTGTTGAAACAAACACAGAGCTCAAGTATTCCTGTGAGAGAGAGAAAACACCTACAATACTTTACAGATGTGCATTTATGTTAAGCATCCTGTAGTGAATTAATACATTCTTTTTTTAACGGCTAAAAGTAGATCGCCTGGAAGGAGCAAGGCAACGGAGACAGGCCTACCCAACAAGGTGCAGACAGGAATGGGAAGAATAGACAGTACACAATGAGATCCAAAGCTTCATCAATAATATTATCTTTTGATTCTTCTTTAAAAAGTAAAAGGGAAATAAATAGTCGAGGAATGGAAACTTAACCACTTGAAACAGCAGGTCAACACGTCTGTACTGACACCGAGAGTAACAGACACGTTTGTTTAGCAAAGCTACACATGCAAAGTAAAAAAGAACGACGTTTTAAAGCTGGTTCATCAAAATGATGTTGCAACTTGCTAACAGACAGTGCGACTAGTTTTAAAAGGATTTAAGCTAAGATTAGAGATTAAAGATTTTTAAAGAGTTAAGAAGATTCTTTTCACACATGAAACAGCTGACCAGTGTAAACTGAAAACAAGTCAAAGTAAAACAACCTGCACCTTCGGATCATCTCCGAACTGGGCAAACTGCACGTCGTTCAGTAAGCTGCGAGCCGTTTTGATGATGTCTTTACACTTCTTTGGGGTTTCTTCCACTTTGCCCGCCAGAAACAGACAGCAAGCACCGGTCACCTGTTAGGACATACGCCTCAAGATTAAAGACACACATTTTGTACACTTCAAGCAAAAGACCCAAAGCAGGAACGACTGGACTTACGTATCGGGGGAACTGTTTGAAGGAGTGGAACATGTAGAAGCGGTGGAAATATATGATGCCAGTTGCCAGTGTGTCATAGTGTCTGATGACAGTCAAGGATACAAGAAGCACGTCCTCACCAAAGTGGGTTCACTTGGAACAAAGCCGAACGTTAGCATAGCACAGTATTTTCATTGAGCCGTTTCTCAAAACAACTCATTCATAAACATAGATACGAATTTCGCCTTCAGTATTCAAATCAGGAGATCAAGGATACAGGCCGAGTCTGGTCCCAACGTCAAAAATGAAGCGGGCTCCTTCTCTGCGATACCGGGCCTCCGTGCCAGGGTCCAGGCCTTCAGACTGCGACGGGGTGTGGGCCAAATCTTTCTTGTCCCAGTACCAGCATGGCTTGATGTGGTCCAGGATCGCTTGGCCCGAAAAGTTCTCCTTGAATTCCTTCATGGGCTGAGAAGAGGCAACGGTGGATGAACCCGCTGCACCGGACTGCAAAGACAGGACATGAGAGAGCAGGTCTACGGACTGTTTGGACCAGCAGAGGAGCCTGAATCCTGGTCTGTTAGACGGACTGTATGGTCTCTACAATAGAAGACAGCGGGGACATCAGAAGTCAATTTTTCTGATTACCACCTGACTAGAGGGGCTGTTCTCAAACCTGTGACCGGATGTGGGAGAGCCAACCATCTTCAAAGTTAACCCTTAGCTCACAGATGGTTTCCTCATAGTTTATATGACAGGTTACTGTTTGAGTTTGAAGAAGCAGAAACGAGGGCACCGTTTCTACGGGATTGTGTTTTTCACGGCACCTTCCATCCTATTCCTTCATAAACTACAGCTACCACTGCTCACAAAAGATTTATGAATACTACATATGACACAATGCATAACGTTACATTCATGTGGATTTCAAAATCGACGACTAAGAATATCGTCGAAAAAGCACGACGGTAGTGACAGCTCCTCAATAAGTTAGCATTGAGTAATGCTATCCAAGCTAGCAGCAGTGGGAACTTAAAAGTTGGCTTCGTGGACCTGACGTCACCAATGAACTCAAGATTTTTAGCAATTTATATATTATATAGAGAGCAACGGGTGAGTTAGATTCACCGAGAGACTGACACGAATTACGCCTTCATGGGAAAACGGTTCCGAAAAGACAACTTGGGCTAACTTTAGCGCAGAGGCAAACAGGTGTTAGCAGCCTCGGCTAGCACGCCCGCTAAACTCGCGGTCTGAACTGCGCCGAGGCGCGAGCGACGCGCTTCAGCTCCGCTGTTCGTGGAAAAACGCGACTGTTACCTTTAACATGAAGCCGGCGCAAACAACCCGCCGTGACAAATATCCGCAGCTTCTCACAACAGGTCGGCTAACAAGTTATCACCATTGTAACAAGGGTTCCGCCATTATGGAGCGAGTCACGGGCCGTCGGCCTACGTCATGACGCAGCACGTCGGCTACGCGTTCACCGGGATTAACGTCCGGTTTGGGATTTACCTTCTTTTCTCCTCGGGATTAATCGATCCAACGCTTTAGCTAATTCCCCCTAATGGAAATCTCCAAGCAAGATATGCATTTTAAGAATTATTATTATTATTTTTTTTTATGTTTAAATAATACTATTGCCAGTGACATCCACCAGAGGGAGACAATTAATCACTCTTGGACAAAACATCGGATTTTTGACAGTGTTTCGAGCATATGACTCAATTGAACAATCAGTACAATTTCTATAAAAAAAAAAGAGGAATACAAAACAATATTTACTAAATTATAAGACAACGTTAAGATAATATATTGGATATTTGCTCTATGGTATACCTGATTTGGTCATATGCCCGTTTAAAACGACTACACTGCTAAATGAAATATAAATATAAAAATAAATGTGCCCCTATTAAACATATACGTATTACTCACAAATGTTACTAAATCATTTGTTGAAGGATACATGGAAAACCCTGATTAAAGCCACTGAGATAACTGAATGAAATGTTACAAAAGCAGCAGCAAAAAACAAAAATCGAATCTTACACAGAATAAATGTATTTATCTTATATCAAAACGCTACTTGTACATGAGTTCAATATAGTTTGATATTTGCTCTTGGTTAAAAGAAAAACAATATTTTCTGGGACAGATTTCCTGCGCTGTTTGAATGCAATTCCCTTCTGTCTCTGGAGTTTATAGACAATTAACAACCTGTAAATCAGACATTTCTGAGCCCCTTGGACCAGTAGACGAGACTGAGAATGCAAAGGGAATTACTGGATGCTCTTATTTATATATCAAATCCAAAATTGTGATCTTTTAAATACACATCCCTGAAATGCAGAAAATCTACTGCTGCCGCATCTTTTACAGAGTAAGAATTACATTTTGTAAATCCTACATTCACGATAAATGAGAAAAGAAATAGAAGACTCGCTCCACTCTTTTAAAGTTGACGTGAACAACGGCGGCTCAGCGCGATGTCTCGTCGCCGCTTTTGTTTGATAGTGAAGAGCACTTTCAAGTAACATCATGTGCCCTCTCCATTCCCCTCCCAGCCTCACGCAAAGCCACCATTGAATCATTTACTTTGTCCAAATTAAAATTTGGAATCTGCATGCATTATATATTCAGCCGTGCTCGGACAAATCCTCTTAACTTGGAGAAATTGTCACGATGTGTCCTGTAGAAAAGTAAGAGCCTCGTCTCGTTGTACCGCCCGTAGCAAGGGAGCATCTCAATCTGTCACTCAAGTCCACACACACCACCGTAAATCAGCTTATGAATAATATATACTTGTACTTTCTTTATTAATATTAAACATTGCATAATGAGGCACCGTCTATAAGCAAATCCCAGAGCAATATTCATATTACCCTGAGCTGTCCGGGAGTGGACCTCTCATTGTTTGTGTCACTTGTGGGCCTCTATTTAACCACAACACTAATGCAGTTTTGGTGCATTCTTTAGGCAGTAAAGAGGCGTGAAAAAAACGAAAGAGAAAAGGTTGTGACCCAGAGTCAAAGCCACTTAAGCTGCACGCTTTGTCCACTAATGCGCGAGAGCTTCTCTTCTTCTACTTGGTCCTGATTTAACACAAATGCGTGTGGAATCACCATGAATCCCGTGTCAGAGAAGAGCTAAAATGTCCACATATTGTCTCTTGTTGCCTCGTTGCAGAACTTCAGCACATCTCCTGCCTCACATTCAGCCACAGCACTTTACGACACAAGATATACATGTCTCCTTGGAGGCAACGCTTTGGACTTAAAACCTTTCCTGTGTCCACAAGCAGGGCATTTGTGGTGTGTTGGCCCCGTGCAACCCAGTTTAAACAGGAGCCAGCAGATACAAGCTATAATAGAGACATTGATGTATTATTAAGAAACCCACGGGTGCGGATCAAGGAGCTGCTTGCAGTCAGCGGGGGGGGGGGGAAGCGAGCGAGCGCGTGAACTCAGCACAATGTTTTCCTTCGGCGTCCAACGTGCGCAAGGCCGCCGTGGCTCTCTCGGCCCAACGTGGAAAACCCAGACATTTCATGTAATATCACATACGGAATTTATGTGCTCCAGTCAAAGCAATATGCTCGACAACATGCTCGGCCCATCTGTGGAGGATAGCTGTTGTGTTGTGTAGTGTTTCCATGCAGAGTCGGCTGATGTTATCTCTACTTGAGCCAGAGTTGAGATGACATTTCATTTATATAAATAATTACTGTCCTGAAAGTCCCCGAGGCCTGCCCCGAAGCAATCAAACTTCTAATGCTCTTAAAATTGCCCACCATCTTTTATTAATGGCGGACTATAAAATGCATTGCTATATCTGCACACTTCCCTCCCGATCCACCAGGAAACCGTGTCAACTTTAAACGCCTGCATCAAGGCTTTATATTTGTATCCAACCCAAAGATTGGTGGTGTCGTCGGGAAAAAATGAATAAACTTGAGTGTATTTTATAGCCGTGCTGCAGCCGGCGTGAGGCTTCCTCTCATCCAAACGAACGCGGGGGAACTATGTGCGGAACGATTGCCCGTTAGTGGCATTAATTGACCACTGAGGGAACCGGCTCTGCTCTTTAAGGACTCTCTCACATTTTCAACGGCGTAAATAGCGAATTGAGGAGGCTTCATTTAAAAAAAAAGTGTAGCAAGGCAGGTTGGTAATGTGTCCTTTAATGCGCCAACAGAGGGTACTGTTGCCTCACGACATCTTTAAATGATCTCCGACCACAAAGGTGAAGCCTTCTGCCCCCCTACAACCCCCCCCCCCCCCTCTGATGCAGTTTGAGGAAATAGAGTGTTATGAGGTTATGTTCACTGCTTGGACTGTGTCACAATAAAGTATTCGTTTTCTGAATTCAAGTTGACCTTTGAACCTTTATTTGGTCCGATCGAGGTGTGACTGGGAAACGGTCCTGCAACAGAATCTATTGGCTCCTCAGGCTCAGCGGCGTGAATTATGCACAACTTATTTTCCTGCAAACCAAATAAAATGTCAGGTTACTAAAAAGGACGGGTTTAAATCGACTGCAGGCAACAAAGCAAAGGTTCAGGAAATCCGCCACGATGGCGTCGGCCCACGTTGAAGATCCTGTGTTCGTCTTCGTTTAAAGATCCTTTGATTGACTGCCCCCCCCCCCCCCCCCTCCTGGCCTCACCTACTGTCCACTGTGGCTTTAGTCTTCGCTTTTATTACCCTTCTACTTCTGACTGCTGCACATTTCACTCCTGTGTCCACCATGAACCTCCTAACTGACGTTCCATGCTGTTGGGTTGAAAAATTGTCCAACAAATTATTTTTCTTTGTACTTTTTCAACCAACAATTCATGAAAGAGGACGAATCAACAGATTTGGTCAGTTAACCGACTGTTAAGTTAACTCACTAAAGAACAAAAGGCGGACAGAGAAATGGAAAGTCCTGGACATCGTGCCATGTCCATCGGGGAGGGATTTGAGGTGGTGGACTAACACAGTGGACTAGTAGTGTGTACTAGTACTACTAGTAGTAGTATGAGTAGTACTAGTGATGAGTGGATGGAGACCGCTGGTGTCCACGTGTTATGTTGTCCGCGCGCCTCTGCGGACGCTCTTGAACTTGAAGCTCGTCCCGCAACCCGAGCCACACACACACACACACACACACGCACGCACACGCACGCACACGCATTCATGAAAACCCCTAGAGCTGTGTCTGCTCACACGCAAATGCGTCCTCCCTCCTCGTGTGAGTCAAGGAGAGGCGCATCGACACCGTAGGACACCAGGAAACATCGGACCTGAGCTTGTTGGACGAGAAGGAGGAGGAGGTGTCTTGTCTGCCCGCCCCCCTACCCCCCCCCCCCCCCGCGGGAACCCTTTTTGGGGCCCCCTTTCGGGAAGGGGGGAGGGTTTTTTTTTTTAATAAAGGGAGGGTTTCCGTCTCCCCAAAAAGGGAGTGCGGGTTCCCGGGGACCGGGACACAAACCCTCGCGGAGGAGGTCGTGCCAAAGGGGCTTTTTTTGCCCCCGCGCGGAGCGAACCCCCCCTGGGGGGAAACCACAAAATAAACAAGGAGCCTGTGTGCCCCCCCCGTAGATGCCGTTCTTATATTTTTTAAACACCTAAAAAGGGGGAAGGGAGAAAGAGCGCCAATAAAAGAGCAAAAACCCGGGGGGGGTGGGTTTTTTTTTTG